GCAGCTGGCCCCCGCCCAGGTACGTGCGTGCCGCCCGCCGTGCGCTCCGTGCCCGCGCGCCGTGCCCTCTCAAGGTTGGAGGAAGTGCCGAGGCGACCCACGCGTCCGGCCTGGCCCTCGGAGGCCCCACCGGGCCGGCCATCCCCCGGGAGGTGCTCTTGCGTGCCGGCCCGCCAGCCCAGCCCCGCGCCACTCCCCCGCCCCAACCTAGCCCCCCCCCGGAGGCGGGGCGGAGCTCCTGCCTCAGTATCCCCAGGACTGTCCATTCCTGACCTGTGGTCTCTGAACAAGCCCAGCCCCCCCCCCCAGCCTCACAGCTTGCCTGGTGGGTCTGCGGCCAGCAGAGGACAGATAAAGCTAGATCTGGGGCTGGGGGAGAAGGGTGGGGGGAGAGAAAGTGAGGTTTCCTCCTGACTCAAGGGCAGAGCCCTAGGACATCCCGAGAGCCAGACCCTGGGTCCAGGTCTCTTCTCTCCCACAGGCCCCCATCTCCCAGCCGGATGCCACTGGCCACCAGAAGAAAGGTAACACTTAACAATAGCTTTGCACCAGCCACTACTGAGAGAGTTTTCCACATGCCTGGATGTTATGACCATCATCTGGTGTGATCATAGCTCCCTTGTATGATGTCCATTTCACAGAGGAAGAAATTGAGGCAGAAAGAATGGTACTGGGTTCTAGACAAACAAGACTGTGGCAGACAGGAGCAGGCATTAGTAGAAGGTGGCTGGGACAGGGGACAGGGGGCCGGGGAGGATAGCTTTGGGAAACCCAGTTGGCGTTTAACCCTTCCTGATCGATCTGCCCCCAGTGGTGTCATGGATAGACGTGTATGCCCGAGCCACCTGCCAGCCGAGGGAGGTGGTGGTGCCCCTGGCTACGGAGTTCATGGGTACGGTGGCCAAACAACTGGTGCCCAGCTGTGTGACTGTGCAGCGCTGCGGTGGCTGCTGCCCTGACGACGGCCTGGAGTGCGTGCCCACCGGGCAGCACCAAGTCCGAATGCAGGTACGGGGAGCAGAAGGGACAAGCAAGTTGAGGGGACACTGGTACTCTGGGGACTGGGCCAGCCCGGAGACTAGAGCATGGAAGGCTGTTAGCTGAGCTGTTTTCCCTGTAGCCTATGGAGCACCCCTTGCTCTCTGTCCCTGTTGCCCCATACCCCCCTCATTGTGTCTCCCCATTCTTCTCCCGAGCACAGATCCTCATGATCCGGTACCCAAGCAGTCAGCTGGGGGAGATGTCCCTGGAGGAGCACAGCGAATGTGAATGCAGGTGCCAGCCAGGCCCAACCTCTGAGCTTGCAGAGTCTAGGCGTGGGGTGGGGTGGGGGACTTGGGGTTCACTGCACTGCGGGCCAGGTTTCTAGGAGTAGAGCCAGAGGTAGGCCTGGGATCTGGGACAAGACCGTGGGATGTGTGGATCTCTTGATCTTTCTCTTCTTTGTCTCTATCTCTTACTTTTTAGACCAAAAAAAAAGAATGTGGTGAAGCCCGACAGGTGAGTATTTGGGGTTCCTGCAGAGATATAACCTGGATGTGTAGAACCAGATAGAAGGTGTGGATGGGCCCAGGGTCACACGAGAGAGGCAAGATCCTGGTTCTTCTTCTCTTTCTCCTCTGTTCCCCAAATCTGTACATTCTGTCCTGGTCCCAGCTCCTGGGAAGACTCTTCCTTCCTGCCCCAGACATGTTGCTTCTCCTCCTAGGGCTGCCACTGCCCACCGTCCCCAGCCCCGCTCAGTTCTGGGCTGGGATTCTGCCCCTGGAGCACCCACCCCAGCTGACACCACTCATCCCACTCCAGCCCCAGGACCCTCTGCCCGCGCTGCCTCCAGCGCCGCCAGCGCCCTGATCCCCGGACCTGTCGCTGCCGCTGCCGACGCCGCAGCTTCCTCCGTTGCCAAGGGCGGGGCTTAGAGCTCAACCCAGACACGTGCAGGTGAGGAGTTTGTGGGTGGCACTGCTTTGGGAAGACATCAGGGCTGCGTTCTGGAGCAGGTCCAGGTAAGCCTGCCAGTGGGAGAAGGGCCAGGAAAGGGGAAGGTGTGGAACAAACATTTCCCCAAGTGTCTGTTGGCATGGAGATCTGTATCAACACAGCTTACAGTCCAATGCGGGAATCAGGAGAGAGGGGGGGGGAGAGAGGATAACAGCAGAGCATGCCTGGTACCGAGGTGGGGCAGCTGATGGCTCTCTGAGCAGTCAGCCATCCTGTGGATGAAGTCATATCTGCCTGGAATGGAACCGAGGAAGAGTTTTCCTGATTTGCTGAGCTCGGGGCCTTCCCAGAAGCCCCTGGTGTTTGCTTTTCTGTATGGACTTTGAGAGACCAGAAATATATCAGAGAAGACTCTCTGCAGTTTTCTCACCACTAGAGCGGCCATGGATGACATTAGATGGCCAAGCCAGTGGGGCTTTCCCAGGGTGTGAAGAGAAATGGGGCAACAAGGAAGTGTGTCAAAAGAAGCTGGGGAGCTGGACACGTGTGGCTCACACCTATAATCCTAGCTACTGCAGAGGCTGAGATCTGCTAGTTCAAGCCAGCCTGGGCAGACAAACCAAATTTCAGTTGACCAGTAAATAGCTGGAAGTGGAGGCAGAACCAAGCCAACTCAGAGCTTGAGACCCTGAGCTCAGGCCTCAGTACCAGCATGCTCACATGGGTGTGCATGCACCCTCATAGTCCCCCACCCTCCCAAGGTCTGTGGGCTGAGCTCCAGCCAATCATGAACAGATCCCTTTCTGCCTTCCCCAGGTGCCGGAAGCTGCGAAGGTGACACATTGCTTTTCAGACTCAGCAGGGCCACTTTCCTCAGCCTCACCCCATTTGGACAAGAGAGGGGAACCTGGGGAGAAGACCCTAGCTCCAAGACCTTGGCCTCGATGGAACTTGTTCCAGGACTTGGGACTCTCAGAGTGCTCTCCTACCATCTGTCCTTCATCTTCTGAGGCTGCCAGCTAACAGAATTGATGAGCCATGACAGCAGCAAGAGAGCTCATGTTCCAGCTTAGGGGAACAGGTGCTCTCGGTCTTTAACCACACCCTGTGCACCTGAGTTTAACAACTGGCTCCTGCATCGCCTCACTACAAAGACCCCAAACCGCTGCACATTTGGGCTTTGGTATGAAAACTGTGACCTCCTTGTCCCTGATAAAAGAGCTAGAAGGAGCTTTTCCTGCCTGTGTCACTGTTTGCCACTGTTCAGGCTGGCTGGGCTGGCTAGTTTGGGCAGGATATCTGCACCAACTGCTTAGCCCAGGAGCTTGTCTTCCCGCCCTGGCTGGGCCCCCAAAGGCTCCAGAGCAGATCCCATGCAGAGCCACCGATCATCACACCTCAACTCTTACAGCTGCTCCCCTTGCCCCCACCCCTCCTCCCATTCTCCTACCCATTACAAGGAATTTGCCTGATATGGGAAATGACCTTGAGGTGGATCCCAGATCTGCCCTGTGTGACCCTTAATTCCCACCGCCCTTGTCTTTTAGCGCTTGTTTGCATATATACATCTTTGCTGTGGTAGGGGCCACTGTGCTGCAGACAAAGTGTTAAGTGTTTTCACATAGTAGATGGGAATACTTATTTCCCCTGCCAAACAACACTTTGACTCCCCACAGTGGGGCTCTAGAGCACACCTACCCTGTCCCCCTGAACCCTGCCTCTCTAAAAGAGAACTATCAAAGGTCTGTGGTTGGTGGGAGTGATATCGTAGACAAGTTCTCCCTAAAACCCATAAAGTCTTCACCTCAGAGTATCTCACATCTCCTGACCTATCTGATCCAAGCTTCATGTCCACTTTTCCCCAGCACATCACACTGCTGAGGTATGCCATGTAGGAGAAGTGACTCCAAGTAGTCACCTCAATGGAGGTGTTCTCTGAGGGACTGAATCAGAAGGTGCAAGGTGTGGTGTTGTACATGATGTTGGTGCCAAGGCAAGAGTTCCCAATGGTGATCATTGTTTTAGTGTTTTTTTTTTTTGCCAGTTCTGGGGCTTGAACTCAGGGCCTGGCCACTGTCCCTGAACTTCTTTTGCTCAAGGCTAGCACTCTATCCCTTGGGCCACAGCACCACTTACGGCTTTTTATGTTTGTGTGTTCCTAAGGAATTGAATCCAGGGCTTCATGCATGCTAGGCAAGCATTCTCCCACTACGCCCACATTCCCAGCCTCAATTGTTAGTATTTATTTATTTACCAGTCCTGGGACTTGAACTCAGGGCTTGGGGACTGACCCTAGCTTCTTTTTGCTCAGGCTAGCACACTACCACCTGAGCCATAGTGCCACTTCTGGCTTTTTCTGTTTATGTGGTACTGAGGAACTGAACCCAGGGCTTCATGCTAGGCAAGCACTCAACCACTAAGCCACATTCTCAGCCCGCGATCCTTACTTCTTAATGGTCTCAGCCATCATGTCAGTGATGGAGCCGTGGTCTGAGAGATGAGGGTTAAGGCCCTAGGGCCACTAACTCTGAGCCTACTTGGCACTCACAGTGATGCACAGTGCTTCCCATGCACCTCAGAGATCAGCTCTAATTCAGTTCTGAGCTCAGTGTTGTGATTATCTTCCTTTATCAATGAAGGAAATAGAAGCTGGGTGCTACTTGGGAAGCTGAGATGTAAGGATCATGGTTTGAAGCTAGCCTGCCAGATACATCTATGAAACTCTTATCTCCAATTAAGTACCAAGAAAGCCTGAGTGGAGCTGTGGCTCAAGTGGTAAGGCACTACCCTTGAGCACAAAAGCTCAAAGATAGTGCCCAGGTTTCAAGTTCAAGCCCAAAAACTGGCACAAAAAAAACATAAAAAGAAATAGATGCAGACAGCAAACTGGCCCTTGGACTTGGCCTCAAGTCAGCTGTTTCTCTAACACTCAACCAACGTTTAGCTGCCAATCAGCTGCAGGTTCCTTAGATGTCTATCAAGATCTCCACACTGGGCACACTGCGGGGTGTTGGGATACTTGTTGAATCCTGCAAGCGCGGTGAGGGGACGGGCCCACGCGGCCAGCGAGCCGCTGGAGGGAGGAGGGGAGCGCCGCGCGGAGTCTCCGTCGTGGGTGGGTGTCCCGAGCTGGCTCAAGGTCACACCAGGCAACTAACTCGCAGCGGCCTTTCAAACCCGCGCGAGCCCTGGCACCGGGACTGCCGAGGGGTCAGGAGCGCCATGAAATGGCCCCTCAAGACCCGCTCCAGGAGCCCACGTAGCTTGGCCGGAACGTCACCTCGGGCGGAAGTGCCTTTGGCGCTTTCGGAAGTCACTTTCACCAAACTCCACGAGTAACCCCTCCGCCGGAAGTGGCGCAATGCGCACGTGCCTGCCCGGGAGGCGGGGCCGAAGGAGAAGCCGCGCCAGGGGCGGGTAGCGGCGGGTTTCGCACGGTCCAATAAGAGAGGGCGGCGTGGCCCGGCCTGTAGCGACCGGAACGCGCCTGCGCAGAGGTGGCCGCACGACCTGGGTTGGCTCCGGGGGCGCGGCGAGGAGGTGAGCGGGGGCCACAGCCCGGGCCGGGGGGAGCCGGGGTGCATGCAGGAGGCCAGGCTGGCTCTGGCCGGGCAGAAGCGGGCCGTGGCTCGGCGTGTAAACGAGGACTAAGAGGCGCAGGAATTGGGGGGCCGGGGTCGGCGCTGTCCGGAGATGCCGCAAGGGGTGGGTTCTCACGCCGCACGGGGCGGAGCCCTGGGACTCGGGGCGGGACGCGAAACACAGGCTGACCGGACCTCAGAGCGGGAGCGGGTAGAAGGCGGGGCTCGACGGCCAGGGGCGGCGCCAGGGAGGCCTGGGGGTGGAGCCTGGAGCTTGGAGGCGGGGCTGGAGTCGGTGGGAGGCGGGGCCTCGGGTTTGGAAAGCGAGGGGGCCGGCGTCCAAGAGCTGGGGGCGGGGCTTCAGCCGGTGAGTGGCGTGGCTCCAACCCAGGAAAAGGACGGTTCTGCAGGGGGCGGAGCTTCGGAGTCGGGGGCGGAATTCTGTCCCCTGGAAGGCGGAGCCAAGGATTCAAGCCCGGGGCTAAGCCAGAGTAATGGCCAGGGGCGTCCACGCGGGGGCGGTCTCCGCGGTGGCCGGGCCTGGGGACGCGGTAGGCCTCGAACTCCACCTGGAGAGGTGGTGTGGGTGGAGCGGTCTCGGCGGCCCGCGGACTCGGGGCCCATCTGGGTGCCCCGGAGGCCCCCGAGGGCTCAGAGTTGGGGCGGCGCCCCCGGTGGTGGCACGGGGCCGGGCTGGGGGGTACCTCCAGAGGATCGGGGCTCCCCGGAGCCGCCTAGCGGGGACGTGTGGGTGCCTCGGGGCCGGCCCCCTGCAGCTGCCGCAGAGGTGTGGGTCTGCTGGGCCGGGGGCAGCTGGGTGTGGCGCGAATGGGGCCGCTCGGTCGGGGCAACTCCTGTGCAGTCAGATAGGGTCTGGACTTTGCGTAAAGGGACTGGTGGAAACTGAGGAGTCTCAGAGGTGGGGACAGGGAGGGAGGCAAAGGGAAGCTGTGGGGGTGAGCAGAGGGGCGGGGCCCTGGCTGCTGTGGCCTCCCCTGACCCCCTCCCCTCGCTGCTGGGGTCCTCAGCCAAGCCCCCTTCTCCCTGGACTGGTAAGTGTGGCCGCGGAGCCCGGGGGAAGAGGGTGGTGACCGGGACAGGGGGATCTCTAGGGGCAGGCAAGCTATGATGGGGGGTGGCAACCTCCTGGTACTTGTCCTTGTTCCAAGCCCTCCCTGCCTCCTCCCGGTCGGTTGGTCGGGGTCTATGCCCGCAGAGACATGAGGCTGAGCTGGGTCCTGACAGTACTGTCCATCTGCCTGAGCGCCCTGGCCACAGCCGCGGGCGCCGAGGGCAAACGGAAGCTGCAGATCGGGGTCAAGAAGCGAGTGGACCACTGTCCCATCAAATCGCGAAAGGGAGACGTCTTGCACATGCACTACACGGTGGGTGAGGGGCGGAGCTTCCTGGGTGGGTGGAGCTTCTGGGAACCAGAAGTGCCTTGGCAGCTTAGCTTCTCCCCCAGACCAGGTGTGTGACCTTGAACAAGCCCCCTCATCGCCTGTTAAGCCTATTTTCATGATTCTCCTCTGCTCTTTTAACTGTCCACTCCCCAGCCGGGCATGAGCAGGCAATAACTGTACCCAAGGCTATGTCCCCTTCAAGGACAAGGGCCACAGTCAATGCTGTGGGGATCAATTTGATGGGGAGATCCGCTGGGTGAGGGGGCTCAAGGGTGAAGCCCCCCCTCCTTACTAGCCTTCTCCTGGCCCTACAGGGAAAGCTGGAAGATGGGACAGAGTTTGACAGCAGCTTGCCCCAGAACCAGCCCTTTGTGTTCTCCCTTGGCACCGGCCAGGTCATCAAGGGCTGGGACCAGGGGCTGCTGGGGTAAGTCAGGGTGAGGTGGGGGCAGGGCTGGAGCATGCATGGTTGTGGTCCAGGAAGTGACTTGTGGCAAACCCCAGAGGGGGGCAGGGAGACCAGGAGCTGGGGTGCTGCCACATTGTGAGCATGCATTGTCCTGCAGGATGTGTGAAGGGGAAAAGAGGAAGCTGGTGATCCCATCGGAGCTAGGTGAGCATCCCTTCCTGGGGCTACTGGGGACATGTCTGAGGAAGGTGACCATGGCCTCAGCCTCACTGTGTAGTCACTATAGCTATATGGCCCTTCTAAGACTGGCTTGTGACCAGCAGCAGGCTCAGGCGCTGTAGTGCCCATCTCTGCCATTTACCAGTCCTTTGGTACCTTCCCTTGCTTTATTTCTGGCCTTTGAGTTGCCCTGGGCACAGCAAAGGGTGTTTGAACTAAGTGGGCGTGGCCACAGCTCACTGTTTCTCTGTGCATCTTTGACAGGGTATGGAGAGAGAGGAGCTCCTCCAAAGATCCCAGGTAACCCTTTTTCTTAATACACCCACTCTAGCCATCCCTCTCCCATGGCCCAGATTCCATTCTGACCCCACTTTCCCATCCAGGTGGAGCAACCCTAGTGTTCGAAGTGGAGCTTCTCAAGATCGAGCGGCGGTCAGAACTGTAGCAGATGTTGCGGAGGGGCACAGGAGCATCAGGGACCAGACTGTTTCAAAACAACAAAACTCTTACAAGCCCAAGAGTGAGCCTGTGGTTTTTTGTGGGTCCTGAGAGCTCAGGGCTGTGGCAGAGCCCCTTGGCAAGGCCATTGCCTGTAACATTCAAGGGTATGTTAGAGTTGATCCTGGCATCAGAAAAATGACCTTCCTCCCCACCCCCAAGTTCCAGCCTCCCCTCTCGCTTCCTGACGGCATGGCAATCCTTGGCCAGAGGGAATCAGGACTGTTCAAGCCTGCCAACATCACTGCACCCCCAGCTCCCCAGCCACTTCAAAAGCTTGGTCTGGGAGCCAGTGCTGGGCTATCGTCATGGCTACACGGCCCTCAGGAAGGCCTGCAGTCACCTGGGGAGAAGTTGAGCTGGCAGCATGTGTAAAGCAGTATGTCCCCCCTAAAAGACCAGCCAAGCCTGTGAGCGCTCAAAGGCATATCCTACTTTTATTAAAGGGCCCGCGCCGCAGAGTCAATATAAAAACACAAAAAGTCCCATCAGTTTAATAACAATAAAAAACCCCAAAAGTGGAAAACTGAGGGGGCAAGGGAAGACGCCCCTAGGCCAGGGGCACAGAGGGAGCCCTGCTCAAAGCACCAGGCCTGGCTGCAGGGTTCCCTGGTATTGCTGTTGCTACGAGGTCAGGGGGCAGCGATTGTCCTGTGGGAGCCACCATCCGGTTCGCCTGGGTCAGGGACCCTTACTTCTTCTGGGGTGTGCTCAGCTTCTGCATGCCCCGGATCTTGTCCAGCAGGCCAGAGATGAAGGCCTAGACAAAGAAGAGGCTGTTAGGGAGACCAGACCCCAAGATGACAGGGGAGAGTGTGCCTCACCTGGCCACCACCCTCTGGGGAAACCACTTACCTCAGTGGGTTTGTAACAGTCAACCAACAGCTCCTGTAGGACGGGGAGAAAAGCACACGGTAACTTCTCACGAATGGGGCCCACAGATGAACTATACCCACTCCAAGGAACTTGAATACTGGGGACAGACTTGTGTAACATCAACCTCCTATTTTGAGGGGAAAGGCTGAGCAAGGCCCCACGGCTGGCTGACCCACACCAAAGAAGGCTGCTACAGGCCTTGCACCTCCAAGGGGCAGTGCTTCCAGGCCCAGACACTTCACCTTGACCCTGGCAGCCCGGGTATCATCGCTCTCCATGTCTAGGAGTTCGTCCACATCGATCTCCAGCTCTGGGATCTCCTCTTCCTGGAGTAGAGAGAGGGGTTGGCAAAGCCTGAGTCAGGACCGGGTACTCAGAAGGGCTCTGGGCTGAGTTCCCTGCCTACCTCAAGCCCAGCCCAGCCCTCTTTGCCCAGCAGATGACAGCTGCTCTGGGAAGGAAAACAGACCAGGCCTGTGCCAAGGCAAATTGCCCAATGGGGAGGGGGGGAGAGGGCTTCCTGTCCCTGCCAGTGGGCACCCAGGGTGCCAGACAGCCAGAACTGAGGACCTTGGGCTGCGAACCCAGCAGATGTATCTCCCCAACATCCGGGCCCCCATCTCACAGTACACTAGTGAGGCCAGCTGTCCCAGCTCATCACAGCCCCCTCCCCCAAACACCTGTCACAGCTTCCTGGGAGTGAGGAGGAAGTGAAGGGTGAGGGGTCAGGGGGAAGGACCCAGGCCTGGTAAAGGGGAAACAAAGAGCCCAAGATTTGGGGAGGGAGGGGGCGCCCACCACCCCTCCCCCAAGGGGACAGCTACCCAGTTCGGGGCTAGCAGCATTCCAGGGCCAGGCTAGGCAAGGCAGCGCGAGGCAAGCCCACTCCTCCCTCCACCCTGCCCCCGGGGGCCCTGAGTCACCATCTGAGCAAACCAGGAGTCACTGGGTGGAGGACCTGATCCGACAGAGCGGGCTAACCTGCCCACACACTAAAATGGAGTTCAGGCTAGCCCATTAAACAATAACCCAGACGCTTTAAGGTTCCCCTCGCCAACCAGTCTACGGTGCCTTTTAACTGCTGTCTAAACTAGCTGGCGCTAGGCAAGCTAGACAGAACTCGGTCCGTGGCTGAGGCGGCCCTCGCCTGCTATCCCTTGGGGGAAATCTGGAGGACAGCAGGCTTGACCTGAGCACTGCTGGGAGAGCGGGGTCGGGACAGCGAGGCTGGGACTGAGCTTCGACCAGAAAGCGCACACGCTGGGGGGCGGGGCGTGCGGAGAGGGGGTGACAGGCGGCCTCGGGCCGGGCCGGGGTGCCGGGCCGGCGCGGGCGGGGCGGGGCGGGGGGCGCACCTGGCAGTCGTAGAGGCGCGTGAGCTGCTCCAGGATCCACTCCTCCAGGTTGAGGCGCTTCCGCAGCTCCTTGCGGTCGTACTTGACGGTGACCTTCCCCTGCCGCCTCACCGGGCCCTCGTCGTCCGCTCCGCCCGGGCCTTCACCTGCGGCCCCAGGGGGGCTCTGAAAGTACACGCGGGGCCCGGGACCGCCGCTGCCCGGCCCGGGAGCCGGGGCTGCCAACGCCGCGCCC